GGTGGTTTATTAAATTGGTAGTAGATCCTTTCCACAAATATTCTGTATCGCATCCTTCAAATGAGCATCGAACTTTTTCAGCTTGTTCATCTTGATTATCTATATATTTTTCAAAAAAGTCCTAAACAAAGCTTCCTGATTTTTTTTTTTTTTTTTTTTTTAACGTTTAAATTTGGAGTAGATGAAGTTTGAGATATAGAAGCTAATAATTCGATATCACTATTATCACTCTCTTCATCTTTATCAGTTAAAGAATTAAATTCGTCAGAAATATTCATTATGATTCCTTTACGAGACGTTAATAATATATTGCCTTTTTATACTAAACTTTGGCATTAAATATACTTATATATTATAAAAGTTTAATACTAAAAAAAAAATGAGTTCTATACAGAATAAAATCCCGACTTAAAATTTTTTCATTGTTTCATTTTAAATTGCATTTGATATTTGCTACGTAAGTAAATTGATTTTATCATTCACTGCATTATAGGATTTACTAATTTATACATATAATTAGTTTAATCTTGCACAAGAATGGAGGTTGATTTTGAAATACTGCGTGTTCGTATTATCTTTCTTTTACTAACAGCACCTTTATAACCAGCTTTTTAAAAAAATTCATTTGTTTTCGATTGAAAAAAAATAAAAAAAAAACTTTTATCCTTTTATACCATTGTGAGAAATCATATGTAGTATAAATAAACTCTTCAGCGTAAATATATAAACTCTATGCGGTGTAAATATATAATAAACTCTATGTGGCATAAATACATAATAAATTCTATGCGGCGTAAATTAACTTCATAAATTGACTCATTGATTTACTAATGCTCACTATTTATTGGTAACGATGTTACTCAAACTATTGGAAATGTTCTAAAACATGTAAAGAACAGTATCACACGGTTTCAACAATTATTACACATATTTGGACATTCCAAGTAGTTTGTGTAATATTGCTACGTAATTGCTATTAATGTAACAAGTTACATTATCGTTATGTACAATGTCTGATTCTACGTAATAAGTTATTTAGTTGATTTATATAGATAATAGTTGGTTGACAACTAGTTGACAACTAGCAATTAGTTGTAGTTGGTTTAGTTGATAGTTAATCAATTAGTTGTTTTCGGATTTTTTAAATCGATTAGTTGAAAAGTTGTCAACTAGTTGATTTTTCAACTAATGATTTGGATCACTAATGCTAGGCAAAAGCTCATTCTGAAGGAAATAGCTGACAAAAGGATAGCAAAGCTTTATAAAGAGTTATGGTACTATAATATAGGAAAATCAAAATATACAGAACTTGTACTGATAGAAAGAGAACATGGAATTTTTCTCGAAGCAATTCAAGATGGAAAAGATCCCGTCCATTGTATTATAATATAAGAAATAGTTGGTTATATAGTAGAATTAAGAATAGCCAATAGAGTCAAAAGATTATTAGTAGAAAGGGAAAAACAGCATGCTGAACTAAAGGCAAAATTAGAAACAAGTTGAAGCAAAAGACTCCAAGAACAAAGAAAAAGCTGACAAAGACAGCTCAACAAAACAGCCCTGAATTCTATAATACATTAATTCAAAGAATCTATCAAGACTACAGCAGCAAATCAATAAGAAACAAAAAGAAAAATAAAAGAAAAGAAAAGGATGCAAGTTTAACAAGAAAGAAGACAAGCTGCCGAAATAAAAGTGAAGTTAG